GCATCCTTAAAACCCTTGAAAGATTGGGAATATGGGACAAAAATACCCTGATTTGGGGCACCTCGAAGAGTGACCCAACCTTTCCTCTCTTTAACCTCGGCCCCAGTCCGGGCTGTATATAAATCAAAAAAGTGAAAGAAAAGACAAATTGTACAAGGAAGACAGAGGTAGGCGCAGACTTGCTCGAAACCCTGGATGAAGGCCCAGGAGTTGGGATGGAGTTGAGAAGGCGCAATCCGAAGTCGACGAAATACAGCCATTTGGAACTCGGTGAAAGGAAACTGAATCCCAAGCTTGGTTATTAGATCTCGGTAAAGAAAAAAGAAATGGGGCTCGTCCAAAATAGGCCCCGCACACACCAGATAGTCGCCTGCTGGGAGCATATCCACCCCACTGGGGTCACCTACTGGTAGTTGGGCGACGTCGGCAGGAGACATCGTAGATCGTATGCGGAGGATCTTAAGAAGAACCCAATTTTGTACGTTCGACTCCTCCATAGTTAAAATCCTGGAACACAAAGGGCAAGATTAGTACAAAAATCAACCAGATCCGATCTGGGACTCCCGAGATCGGATGGTGACGAGCCAGGACTCCAAGAAAAAGGGATGAAGTCGTCAGAACTACTGACAAGATTGACAAAGGGCACTTGACTAGAAGCCGAATCATCAAAGAAAGAAGGGACATCCGACCTCGGAAAACCCAGCTCGGATGAGGAAAAACTTGAAGAACTATCACTAAACCTAAAAAAGGGAATCCGATTCAAAACGGACCTCGGACCTGGGACCACCTGAGATGATGGTAAAATATAAGACAAAGAAGCTGGGTCAGGAGAAGAGCCAACCCAAAAATCGAAGGGATAGAAGCCGGAGGAGGAACACCCCCGCCGAAATTAAGTTGAGGTTGATGGCTCTCACTCCCTCTCTGATCTCTACTACTCCTACCACGTCCACCTTGGGAGACCCGACGACCCCCTTGGTGGCTTCGGAGAAGCTGCTGGAGCTTCTCCTCCTCAGTATATTCCCTACCATAGAACCAATACTGGATGGCTCGAGGTAATTCCCTCACCATTTTCTCGTTAAGTTCCCCTCCATCATTTCGGCCAGCAGCCTCACCATATCCATCACCCACTTGGTGTTAGGAGAGCTCAAGAAACACTCCTCCCCAACAGAAAATGTAAACTAATGCTCGAAACAAAAAGTATGAAAGGGAGAAGAGATACCTGGTCAAAATAAGAACTGAGAAGAAGGTTAACAAACTCAGAATGCCTTGACAGCGAAAGGAGACCCAGAAACTCAAAGAAACGCGCCTGAAAGTATAGAGAAACTAAGCAGGAAAGAGAGTGCAAAACGTGATACAGACGAACGAAAATCCTGTACCAGTTCGAAAACTGGTATTTATAGGGGAAACAAAGCCACAGGCGCGAAGATGAAAGGACCTCAGACCGTTTGAGTAGCCATGGGCAAAACGGTAAAATCACTCATGCGCGCATTAAATGCACTACATCATGACCTGCATAAAGACAAGACAGCGCGCCCTGCACGATGCACGAACTGCCAACAGGCGCAGAACACGTGGATCGTCATAACCGTCTCATAGGCGTGAAATGAAAGGTCAGGTAGATACGATAAGATCAAACTCCGACCTCCAAGCTCCAATTTCGTCTTAAATATTGCAGGTCAGGCATAAGCCCGACCACGAGGTCATAAACGAAAGTTGCAACATGGCCAAAACTTTCAACTCAGCCCAACACGACGAAGTCGAAGCTCGGATCAAACAATGCTTGAAGGCAGGAAACGAACCCAGGGAAAATCCGACACGCTAAAACTCGACTTCACAAACAAACACCAAGGAAGATCAAGGAGCCTTACAACGACCTCGGCAAAAATAATTCCGAGCTAGAACGCAAACGTCAAAATATCAAAGGCTCAAATCTGAGACCAACGAACTCGGACAAACCAGATCCGAGGTGACGCAGCAGCACCTCGGCATTCCGAATCTTGGAATACCGAGCTGAGGGGCAACTGTTATGGATATGAATATCATATCTCAACTACCCACCTGAGAATCTACTAACAGATAGAGTCAGAAATATCTCAACAACTCTAAATAGCCAAAGGGCACAAGATAAGGATCACATCCCAACAGAAAGGGAGTTGAATCATATTGCAATTGGGGGAGCTCTAAAGGCCCAAGCCTAGGAAGGTAATCCTTATAAATAAGAGCCTAAGGACCCCATGTAAAGATTCTGAACCTATTTACTTATGCTGCCCACACTGTGCACACACCCACCCCCTTGGCTATAAGTCTATTGCTTATGCGCAGTGATTGGGACCTCGGCTATAAGCCTAGTATACATTTGATATACACTATCTCTGAGCGCATACCATACGGTATAGCAATACGGTCTATCCAGGACCTAACAGAATTAGTTTTTTTTTAATTTCTATTTTCGAGAACAGAAATGGATAGAAAATTTGTTTGGTAAAAATGATTTTTTTTTTTTTATTCCCGAAAAGAATCGGTTTAATTTTTGTGTTGGGGAACAAATAAAAAAAAATAAAAAAATTTCTATTTTTTTGTTCCTGGTCACAAAATGAGAAATACATGTCTCTCTCAATCACTCTCCACCACCACTATTATCCTGACAAGACCACCGTTAACATCGTCGCCGCCGTTGTCATATCACTAGTGCCATTGTCACCACCACCACCATGATGCCACCGCCACCATCACTACCACCATGCCACATCACTATCACCAACCATCGCCACCATCACGCCATCACCACCCAATGCCACCACCACCACATCGCCGCCACTACCACCTTCATGATGCCACCATTACTATTGTTGCAGTCACTTCCGTAACCACCACCATGCCATCGCCGCCACCACCACCACACCATCGCCACCACTACCACCGCCATCACCAACCACCACCGCTATCGTCGCAGCCATTGTCGTCACCACCATGCCATCATCACCACCACCACCATCATTGCCACCACCACCACCATCGTTGGAGCCATTGCTGTCACTACCACTACTACGCCATCGCTATCGCCACCACTTCTACGCCGCTGCCGCCGCCACCACCACAACACCATATGGAAAGGAAAGTGATGATTCAAAAGTTTTTTATGTTTAATAGGTATTATTTTTATTATATTATTTGTTGTGTTAGCAAACGTAATTCTCATTTTCGGAATAAAAATAGGATATGTTATCAATCACATTTTTTTTTCTTAGAAACTATTTCAAGGCACCAATAAAAAAGAATTGTTTCTTTTAAAAAACAGTGCCAGAGAATAGAATGTTGTCATGCACACCTTTGTTATTTTTTAAAAATTTGTTTGGGAAGCTAAAAGCATAATTATGTCACAACAGGATATTATGCTTATTATTTTTCCATTTCTACTTTATTTATTTCTTTTCAATACCATTAAATAAAATCTCAAGATGAGAGAGAAAGTGTAAAGATTAGTTGAGATTCTAATATAACGATAATGGAGATAAATAGACAAGTAGACATGGAAAAAAAAGTTGGCACAATATCTCAAAGGCAACAAATGAGCAATCAGCAAGTAGTTTTAAGGATGATTGGATCATGAAGAATATACAATGTTTTTATCTTTACATGTATTCAGAAAATTTCACATATATAAACCTGGATTGTGATTCAGATGTAATTTTACATAAAAAAAATTTAGTACTTTCATGTAATTGTCACGGAATTCAACCTTTTTTTTTCCCACTACATATAAATAATAATAAAAAAAATTAATATTTCAAGATAGTGTCTACACCTGACCTGCTTTACTATAGGATGCGGGGTAAGGAGTAAAATATCCTTTTCATGACCATCTAACATATTACATTTTTATGTACACAGGACATATCCAACTCCTGTGTCAACCCTCGTACAATCCTAAGATACATAAAATATCAGTAGAATACATCTTATTTAGACCTTTAACTTATGTTCATCATGACAATACAATCCTGGAAAACAGTTCATGGAAGTCATTGAGTGAGAGATAAGCAAGAGCTTTGAACCTCCTATATTTATGTCCACAACGCCTCTAGCCATCAACACCATTTTTTTTTTTTTTTGCAACCAGCAGTCCATCTAAATATGGACTGGTCATTCACTCAATATACCTAGGGGTGTTCATCAACCGAACCAAACCGATTCAAACCACAATAACTGAATCGAAAAACCGATAACCGAATAACCCGAAAATCGAAAAATCGAAAATCGAAAAAAAATCGCAAATTTTAATTGGATTGGATCAGTTTTCGGATTGAGTGATGAAAACCGATCCAATCCAGACCGATCCAATATATTAATTCTCCTCTACCTACTTGGGCCTTTCCCCAATCATCTCCCACAAATTTTTAAACTCAAGACCCATTAACCCATCAACTAAATCCAATAAAAAATCTAGTCACATCTTATCAACAAAGTTTTATCTGTGTAAAGCTTCATATCTCATTGTCGAAAAAATTATATATATATTATTGTTTACTAATGCTTTTGTATTTCAAAAGAAAAAAATTTACAAAGACAATATATACAAGGGTTCAAGTTTTCTCATGTTGTAGGATAGTAGGAGAGAAAAAAAGTAGAGAGAAGTTAAATATGGGTCCCATCTTTTATATTAAAAAATAAAAATAAAATTAATTGGCACGGAAAACGAATTTGTGTAGGAAAAGATGTTACTCTCATGTAACATGAGAGTATTATTTCCCTATATACAAATGATGTTATTTGCACAATAATTATGAAACAAATTTAGGAATTTCAAAAAACCGAAAATCGATCCAATCCAAACCGAAAAAAATCGGATCGGATCGGATCGGATTTGAAAAAAAAATCCAAACCGGATGGATAATTACATAATCAAACCGAAGGGATTGGATCGGATGATTTTTGCTCGCAAAACCGATCCAATCTAGACCGCGCACACCCCTAAATATACCTATGAATCAGACAAAAGCCTAATTTGAAAGCTTATCAAGGCGAGAATCCATGATCTGGTAGACAGATTCAAGAAACATATATTCCTCCATGCCAGGTAACAATGATTCCTGTGCTTCACAAATAATCTCCTCAATTACAGATTCCTTGTTTAAATTTTCCCTACACATAATGCTTCCAATTGCATAGGGAGTGAGACCTCTCTCAACCCCTTTCTTCAATAACATTGTGGAGATGCGGAGTGTTCGGGCACATTCAAGTGGAATGTCCCACCCATAATATTTCAGAAGTTCTATATCTTTTTCAGCATCCAGAGAATTAATATAATAAACTGTATCAGGAGAGTAAGGCTGACATGCTTGGGGCCAGTAAAGCCAATCAAATGTGCAATCTTCGAACTGCAGACAGAATAAAGGATTGAGCCCTTACATTCAACAATAAAAAGAATCTTAATTTTAGCATTCCAAGACTTATATGTATCAATGCAATATCCAAATTCCTTTGACCTATAAAGTTCAGCATGTCAATTGTTCTGCATACATTGCTTGCATAGAAAAATTATGTTGCAACACATTCATCCATGCAAATAACATCTATGCAAAATGATTTATAAGAATCTTGAGAATGTCTAAAACAAACTTCTTGAAACACGGTTTTCTTACATCCAATGTAACTCTTTAAGTATCATAGACGCCAAAAAGAAAACACAGCATAGATACAAGAAACACTAGACAAGAATGGGAAATGCTTACTTTCTGTGGCAGACAGTAGCCATGATCAATGGGAATGAGCAAAGTGTGGCCACCTTCCTCTTTTCTGAACAATATATTCCCAGCGTGTCTATCTGAGTCCGATTCACAAAGAATCGGTACATTGGCGACACCAGCTTGGACCTTACCCTGGCGAATCAATCCTCATATATCTTAGTGTGGACGGAGCTGTGACACCAATGTGTGTGTCGGAGTCCGATTCCATTGCTTCAGTGAAAATAGGATTCAGACATGCAAAGGAATTGCAGGGAAGAAGCAGAAGCTGATTCATGGTGGCAGAGAGCTTGCACGCAAAGATACACCCATCAGGGAGTACGGTGTTGCTGCCGGGAATGTTCTTCATTTGGTTCTCCGTCTCTCTGATATGATCTCCATCATTTTCAGGACCATATGTGGGAAGGAATTTGAATTTCAGATTGATCGGCATAGAAATGTTGGGCAACTTAAGCAACGGATTAAAAAGAAGGGGAAAGGTTTTATTGATCTCGAGGATGAAGAGCTTTTACGAGGTGGTGAAAAACTCGATGACAAGAGAATGTTCCATGACATGTGCAAGAGTGATGATGACGTGATCCATTTGATAATTCAAAAATCAGCAAAGGTTAAGTCAACACCAGTTCACAAAGATTTGGAGCTTTCGGTTGTGGCAGCTACTCCAGGTGTAAGAGAGGACCAGTCAGATACCACCTGGTGTAGATTTCTGGTTGGAACCAATTTTTGTGAATCCAAAGGTCAACTTTTTTCCTTTCCTTTGGGACATGATCAATTCCACATTCAATGGTATGAAAAAAGGAAATCACCCTATCATAACTTCTGAGGGCACATGTGGGACTTATTTCATGCATGATTCCACAGGTATGGAGTGTGTTTCAGTTTTTAAGCCCATTGATGAGGAACCAATGGCGGTGAATAACCCACGAGGACTACCAGTTTCATCTAATGGTGAAGGTTTAAAAAGAGGGACAAAGGTGGGAGAAGGAGGTGTGAGAGAAGTTGCAGCCTACATATTAGATCATCCAAGGGCTGGGCCACGTTTGGTGTCAGGTGAAGCAATAGGCTTTGCCGGTGTTCCTCCTACTGTTATGGTCCAGTGCTTACACGAAGCATTTAACCACCCAGATGGGTATGCTTGCTCATCAAAGCATTCCAAGATCGGGTCATTGCAGATGTTCATGGATAATGTTGGTAACTGTGAGGATATTGGACCAGGGGCTTTTTCTGTGGAGGAGGTGCATAAGATCACCGTGCTCGATATAAGGATGGCCAATGCAGATAGACACGCTGGGAATATATTGTTCAGAAAAGAGGAAGGTGGCCACACTTTGCTCATTCCCATTGATCATGGCTACTGTCTGCCACAGAAAGTAAGCATTTCCCATTCTTGTCTAGTGTTTCTTGTATCTATGCTGTGTTTTCTTTTTGGCGTCTATGATACTTAAAGAGTTACATTGGATGTAAGAAAACCGTGTTTCAAGAAGTTTGTTTTAGACATTCTCAAGATTCTTATAAATCATTTTGCATAGATGTTATTTGCATGGATGAATGTGTTGCAACATAATTTTTCTATGCAAGCAATGTATGCAGAACAATTGACATGCTGAACTTTATAGGTCAAAGGAATTTGGATATTGCATTGATACATATAAGTCTTGGAATGCTAAAATTAAGATTCTTTTTATTGTTGAATGTAAGGGCTCAATCCTTTATTCTGTCTGCAGTTCGAAGATTGCACATTTGATTGGCTTTACTGGCCCCAAGCATGTCAGCCTTACTCTCCTGATACAGTTTATTATATTAATTCTCTGGATGCTGAAAAAGATATAGAACTTCTGAAATATTATGGGTGGGACATTCCACTTGAATGTGCCCGAACACTCCGCATCTCCACAATGTTATTGAAGAAAGGGGTTGAGAGAGGTCTCATTCCCTATGCAATTGGAAGCATTATGTGTAGGGAAAATTTAAACAAGGAATCTGTAATTGAGGAGATTATTTGTGAAGCACAGGAATCATTGTTACCTGGCATGGAGGAATATATGTTTCTTGAATCTGTCTACCAGATCATGGATTCTCGCCTTGATAAGCTTTCAAATTCGGCTTTTGTCTGATTCATAGGTATATTTAGGGGTGTGCGCGGTCTAGATTGGATCGGTTTTGCGAGCAAAAATCATCCGATCCAATCCCTTCGGTTTGATTATGTAATTATCCATCCGGTTTGGATTTTTTTTTCAAATCCGATCCGATCCGATTTTTTTCGGTTTGGATTGGATCGATTTTCGGTTTTTTGAAATTCCTAAATTTGTTTCATAATTATTGTGCAAATAACATCATTTGTATATAGGGAAATAATACTCTCATGTTACATGAGAGTAACATCTTTTCCTACACAAATTCGTTTTCCGTGCCAATTAATTTTATTTTTATTTTTTAATATAAAAGATGGGACCCACATTTAACTTCTCTCTACTTTTTTTCTCTCCTACTATCCTACAACATGAGAAAACTTGAACCCTTGTATATATTGTCTTTGTAAATTTTTTTTCTTTTGAAATACAAAAGCATTAGTAAACAATAATATATATATAATTTTTTCGGCAATGAGATATGAAGCTTTACACAGATAAAACTTTGTTGATAAGATGTGACTAGATTTTTTATTGGATTTAGTTGATGGGTTAATGGGTCTTAGAGCAAAAAAGTTCCCCATCATGGCATCAGACTATTTAGATTTTAAAAATGTATAATTTGTAAGTTCTCTCAAGCTCAAGTCTTCTTTCTACTTTAAAGGAGTCCAATAAGTCTGAAGAAAAATTGTTCCAGGCAGCAGAAGCATGCAGCAAATGGTTATCTGAAGTCTAAACCTATTACTTTGGCAGGACATTCAGCATTTAAAACAACAAAAAGAAAACAAAATAAAGGAAACGTTTAAGTTTACATCCTCATGGACATACCTTAGTTTCAGAGATATATGGATTTTTTTATTTATTTTTTTGTAATAAGATATATGGATTATTGTCAACATGAACTGATAGTACAATTAACACAAAACCTGGCTACTCTATTCATAACAAGAAAGTCTTACATTTTTAATTCTAAGAATGCATAAAATTCTCCTGGAAGCCTTATGTACAAAAACACAATATAAAAAGGTCAAGAGAAGACCAAACACCACTATCCAAAATACCAACCTCATCAGAAGATTCAAGACCAAGATGCTCCTCATGAAACCAGTCCTCACATATACAGCACTGAATCATCTCTACTTGTTCGTCAGCATCTGGATCTGGATAAGGGCGACCACATGTGCAATACGAACCTTTAAAGTTGTGATTGTATGAATTCTCAACATTCTCTACATCTTTATTTGGGAAAATCTTGCAGAAGAATTCACCAAACTTTGAATTCCCACAATCACACCTGAAGTTTCTTTTTGTCCATAGTTCCACAATCTTTGCAACATAGTAATAATAATGAAACCATAGGTTATTAGTATGCGTATTGTTCAAGCAAACAAAATCACACTGGATTTATATTCAATAAATTTTATTTTAGCAAATAAAGATCAAGTGTATCGGTCCCAGCATCATAACATGTCTAATACAAGTAAACATCACATACCCCCCTGGAAAAAAAAAATGGCTACTTTTGATTAATGCATCAAACCTAATCATGATTTAGGTGTAACTTAGAAGTTGAAGAAAGTGTGTGATGGTAACATCACCAGCATTTAATCAGGGACCCAACACGGACTACAGATCAGTTATTTAGTGTACAAGTCAAATCTACAATTGAAAATTTTAGGAAATTCAACATCCGAAATTATACATGATTAATTAATAATTGAAAAAAGTTATCAAAGATTCCTATCTTTCTTTACAAAAGCACATAATAACAGCTAAATTTCATTCCAAAACACCTGTTGTCCTCACAAATCAAAAATATATTTAACTAGCACAACGTGAATTAGTCTCGCATTTCACTGTCAAAAAGTAAATATCAAAACAAAATTCATATCCATTTTCAGTTTTATAGTAATGCAATCCAAATTTTAAAGTCATAAGAAAAGAACTACCTGATGACCATCATGGCAAGACAATGAGCAAGCTGTGCAAACTCCAGCATTCCCATCTGGGGTACAGGTGAGGCAAGAGAAAATTGCCTGCCTTTTCATATAACCTTTGCTATAGGTACACTCCTTACCATCATCACCCCCTAAAACTAAATCAGCTTCCTACAAATTGAATAAATTATAAAGGGAAAAATATACGATTAAAGAGTCAACATTTTCAACTCATACAATATTCTAATAACAGTACCAAACATAACAACAATAAAATCAGTATTAAGTAGAATAGCTTATGCCAAATCACAATTGCTTATAGCTTGAATATCAACGAGCAGCTTCTTTCTAATAAAGTAAAGTGCAAATGAAGAAGAAAACAATTTCAATTAGATGCAAATTATACACCAGCCACCACACTCCAATAATACTATCAAAAACCATCTATGCCCCACATTTGTAGTCCATAATAGAATAATAGATGATTACCAAAAAAAAAAAAACAGAACTTCATTTCATTTCAAATACACCAGTTAGTCATCTTTGATACATACCCACCATTCACTTTTATTTGCCTCTAAATAAATTGGTGATTAACACAAAATGAAGAGCAAGAAACAAGCACAAAGAATGTTTCATATTTCTGGGAACATAATTTACATTTTTGCAAGTATTACAATAGCCAACAGAATACATACGCACACTAATATCACAGTGTAGATTATGAGTTCTCAGATATCTTCAAGCATAAGCCTGAGTACGTGCTTCAGAATGGGATTTCCATAGTCAGATTTTAAACAGAACTCATAATCTCCAGGTTTTACAACGAAACCAATCTACACCAAAGTGCAACCAGTGATTTCTCATCCCATCCAATGTCTGCGAAGTGCAAAATAGTTTGAATATTTTCTTCAGACAGATATTTCATATCTAAATGAGATATACAGTATCACTAAGCCAACTCAAATGCCTATATAAAATTGTCAAAATCTTAACAACTACAAGGTTACTCAGATAGTCTCATAGGCTGAACACTTCAAATTCTCCAAGAGAACCTATAGGCTCCGGTTACTGGTTAAAAGACCATAAGTAATTATGCTGGCCTTTATCGTAACAATGATAAGAGCAAAAAAAAATATTACATCTAATTCACAATCATAAAATAGATCTTGACAATAGATTCATCAACCAAATGAGATGCAAAGTAATTATATCGGAGAACCATTATCAGAGATACGTAACACCGTTCATCAAAGAGATAGAAAAATGACTGACCAGTTCCCGTTCCTCAACTTCCTCAAGGTACTCGCCGATTGTAACAGCCGGTTCAGCTTCATCGTCAAACGCATCATCCATTTTTATTTGACAAGTTTCCGAGTTCTGGTTTCGGAGTTTCACGATCCGTTCCTAAAATACAACGCAGGGATAGAAATTGATGAACAGAAGAAGAAGAAAAAAAAAATGCATCCGAATAGGGCACAGATTCCTTCTGCGAAGAACTTACTGGATTAAGAAACCCTAGATTCCACGAAAACAAAGAGGGAAAATGAAAATAAAGGTAAACAAAATAAAACAAAGAACGGAAAAATGAGTAAAGCACCAAAATTTGTGAGTGAAACGCGTTGATGAAGTGGAACCCTGTGTGCGTTTTTATTTTATACAGGGTAAGGGGGACTAAGTGATACAGCACGAGCAGATCCGGGTTAAAAAGATTGAGATCGTGGCCGAGATCAAGACTGAGATTCTAAATTCACACTGGAAGAAGGAAAAAGATTCATCTTTTGAGGAAAGGATCCTTTTTTGTGAAATCATATATCAATATTTAATAAAAGGAAACTTTTTGATATTTTATATCAATATTTAATAAAAGGAAACTTTTTTCTAAGAAAAGGATCCTTTTTGGTGAAATCATATATCAATATTTAATAAAAGGAAACTTTTTGATATTTAATAAAAGGATCCTTTTTGGTGAAATCATATATCAATATTTAAGAAAAGGATCCTTTTTGGTGAAATCATATATCAATATTTAATAAAAGAAAAGGATCCTTTTTGGTGAAATCATATATCAATATTTAATAAAAGGAAACTTTTTGATATTTTATATGAATATCTGATAAAAGGATTATATTTTTAATATTATTTGGATTATCTTTATAATATTATATTAATATTCAAGAAAAAGATCCAAAGAGACCAAAAAACATGCTGCCACATGAGCTACGTGAACTTCACAAATTTAGTCTGCAGGACAAATTTGACAAATGCAAATGACGACTTTTAAGACACATTGAAATACGAGCAAATTTGACAAAAATGTAGAATGATTTAAAGACACCTTCAAGCAAGGAAGCACGGACACTTGTAAAAATAGGAAGAGTCGGGTCCGACACGCTCCGACACGGTGTCGGACACGCGGTTGACTTTTTCCGACACGTTGACCATTCCGACACGCGAATTTGACCGTGTCCGACACAGTCAAATAGCATTTTCGTAATTTTTTTAAAAAAAATGTTTTTTTAAAAAAAAAATTAAATTTTTTTTATTTTTTTAAAAAAAATTATTTTTTTAAAAAGTTAAAATATATTAATAAAGTTTCCACCTGATTATATTATTTTATCTTTTTGTCTTTTTTCCCCTTAAGTAGATAACAGATCATCTCAACATCATTGTTGTCAATTCCTATCACGCTCTTGTTGTATCTTCTTCTCTCTGATCTCTCTCTAATATGATTTGATCTCTCTATCTGATATTATATCTCTCTCTCATCCCAGTTCTTATTTATTTTATTAAAGCTTCCATCTTTATAACGTGTTGATGGGTATTATTAATTTAGTTTCATTTTTTTGTTAAATTATTAAATATTAAATGAAATATACCCTATATAATTTAAAAACATTATTTAATATTAAAACGTATCCCAACGTGTCGAAATCCATAATTTTTTAGGATTGACGTGTCGGAGTGTCGTGTCGTGTCGTGTCACGTGTCGCGTGTCGTATCGGTGCTACCTAGCCTTCAAGTCAAGAAAGATATATTAACACTTTTGTCATCCATGATGCACTGTGACGATAATTGATTCCTTGAAAGCTCAGCGCACAACAGAGCCGCTGATGTAAGCACTATTGTGTGCACAAGCTTGAGTCCGTGTTGGCCAAGCTCGAGTCCAGCGATATCAATTCCTGTTAGTCGAGATAGGTGGACGGGATATATGGATTCAAAATTACTGTGTGAGAAATTGACCGGTTTGAATTCAGAATGTCGAGTAATATCGGTAATGTCAATAATATCATATTTATTATGAAATTATTGCTGATTAATTATTATTAATTACTGATTGGCGTGAATTAATTATTACATTGAATCAAAATAATTGCTAATTATGAGGTAATTAATGCTGATTGCTGATTGAATTAAATCAATCATTGACTGTCTTCCTCATCCTCTATTACTGAACATTTGTTTCTATGCGAGAAAGAGGAAAACATGTGGTGTGAGCCCCATGCACCAAAGTATGATAGCATCATCTCGGATTGGAGGGCGGGATAACACGGAACGAGCCATTAAAGACATCATCATGCAAGGAAATAACCATTCCAAAGAAATTGACTTCCATCGAACAGAATATGAGTCAGATAAGGAAATAACCCCTTCTACTTTAATTTGATTTTATTTCTTTCCTTTCAATTCATATGATATAGCTCAAATGAGGAAAGGATATCAATATTTTGAATAATATATATAATATATTTAATGCTACAAACATGTCTTCATAAGATTGCAAATTGACACATTATGATATAATTTCCAAACACGTTGCACTTGAAGCAACATGGTTTTGCTAGAAGGGCATGTGTTTTTTGATCGCTGCCCAGCTCTCATTTAATAGCTATAGTCGGCACACACACAAGAAAAATAGGTGTAATAATGGCAACCATTGGAGTTGCAGTAGAATTCTTGTCTTCATGCAGGAAGGAAGAAACATATCAGATAACGTTCTTATTGAGAACATGGGGCACAGGCATTGGCTGCGTTTTTAGTTGTTTTTAGTGCAAGACGATTCAGCCACTAAGCCTATTATACTTGTCAAGTTGCCATTGTGCTATTAGCAAGGTTATCGCGGAATCAAATTCTCTCTATCTCTGCTCATACAAGGGGTGGAGTAAGAAGACAATATGTGTGCAGCTTTGTGTAGCAGTAAACGCAAATCCAAAAAGGCAGCATTTGAGGATTGCGATTTCGTTTGATCATTTCTATCCTAATATCTCTATTTTATTTGTTATTTTCATGGAATTTTTAGTTGGCATAAGAATTATTTCTTATATATGCGCATACATTAATATTATATGCCATGATGATACCATGATTCTTTGGAAATTAATTTAGATGCTAATATGTGTCTTGGTTAGTATACATGCCTTGAAGCATTGATCACTATCTATCAAAAAACACAACTGGTGTATATTTCCAGTAATTCTGCAGTTTTAATTGATAGCCCCACGCACGAAGTGGAGCACAAAATGTGCTACAATATGAAGGAAGACTCTTGTGGAAGACTCCTACTACTTGGATCGATCCTCCACAACTCTCCAACATAAAGGCATGTGGAAAATTGATAGCCCAAAAATATGCCACGTGGCCTATTAAATAATGTTACCTTTTGAATGTTGCACTTTCTCTACTCAAGCACAAGCACTAAGTGATGGTGAATGGCTACATTTCTTACCACGATGACCCTAAACGGCTTTAGACACTTTGGAAGACACACTCTGGTTCCATTAATACAAATCTTCCAAATACACTTGGACCAAATATTCCCGCTCATCAAGGATCAATTCTCACGCCATTTAACAGACTTATTACTACAAGGCGTACAACCGCATAAGTCAATCCAACTTGTACCTGTCATAGGGCGGTGTAAGAGAGTCCTATGTGTACGCTCGTTGCTCGGGTTGCCCCAACCCCGGAAAATGTTTACTCAAAAGAAAATGTTTACTCAAAGAAAGTCAAAAGATACTTAGAAATGACCACAATGAGACCTGCATACCCAGTACGAGATGCAGTCCTAATATTCACTGAGATGCAACAGAGATACGGCTTCTGCCTTCACATGCAAGGTGAAAGTACCAAATACACAAAATAAGGAGAAAAAGCATGCTATCAATTACTACGTCTCATACAACAGAAAGATTAGTGGTGAAAGTATCAACTCAGATAAGAAGAAAAGTCATTCTATGTTATTTTTATTTTGAAATATTCTTAATTTTCTAAAACTCTAGCAAATAGAGTGATTGAAAAATATATCTTACTATTCATCAACTCAATGCGAAAATAGCATAAGAAGCAATAGCTAGAAGGTTCACCACATGGCTTATGCGCCCAATCAAATGTTTTTATTTTCGCAGACAGGTACAAGGAATGTAGGTGTCAGTCGGCATGAGTAGCGTTGAAGCGCCGATTGGCAAACATACTGCTTTGACAGCAAGTCAAATTAAGAACGGCAAAAGGAACCAAATTAAGGAAAAGCTAGGGAAGCCAGACTACCAAATATAAGAACGCAAATAGATGTCGTGATGCTTCTTTGATGGGGCACTTTTCTCTGTGAGCAACTTGCTGAGATGTGCAGGACACATCCAAAAGCTTAGCTCGGCAGTAATATTATTTAAATGCTATTTGTCATGTCGGCTTAGCATAACTCGGCAAAACGAAGAAAGGGATATTGCTCGATTATTCTTCCAGTGTTTTCCAAAGCCGGTTCCAGTGTGGCAGAGATTGATTGATTATGCCCTTGGCCAGCAATGACACAACATTCCTAGATTGAGCTTCTTCATCGTCCAAAGCATGGAGGCATCCAACAAATGTTGTTCTCAACAAAGCGTTGACATTGGAAATACAACTCAGATAACTAGATAACTTCCTTTATGATAATTCTATTTTATTTCGAATGTCACCATATGACATATTCTATATACACAATCTACTCAAGTAGATAATATTTTGTTGGTAGCTACTAACAATTTTTCCAAGCAAAAGATGGGCAATTGATATGCAGGATGAAGAGGAGTTGGTTGAAATTCAAAATTCAAGGCCAGCTTCAAAAAGCATCTCGACCAACATCCAACAATAAGCATCTCGCCCAAGTTATAACTAGAGTCGGGATCAAGCTTCAATAATTACAAAAATTTGGCATCATGACCAAAAGGAGGATCAGATTTCAGAACCGTCCTCTATTGCAAGCAGGATGGTTATAAAATAACAGGGAAATATTTTGTTCCTTATTTTTATATCCCGAAAATTATTATCATGATTTCATATGACTTCTTGCTGGACCAAATTCTTATACGATGCTTATATACAAAATATATAAATTTTTGAAAGTTGGTCAACATTGTTATGCATTATATGTCGGCAAAGCACGTCGGTAGATAATTTAAATATTATCATGAAAAAAAAGAGCATCAGGTTTCACCATGAGGCTACGTTCCCTATGTTCACAGAAGATCAAGGAAACGGGGGAGCATGGAGTTTTATGATGGGTGCTCAATCAGATCATAGAGCATAAAATATGGTCAAATATAATTTGCTAATTGAATTGATTGCTGATTGCAGCTGAAAAATTGTTGATTGATGATTGAACCAAAATTATTGCTGATTATCTTCTTTATACTGTGATGTAAGGAATAATTAAACAAGTGGTGTGGAGATCCCTTCTAAAAAGGACGGAGACCCAGATCCATTCAAATAAGGAAGAAAATCCACCTGGATGAATACAAGACTTGGGCAAAAGAAGCCAAGCTGAAAGAAGAGCTGATGCAAG